TTTTTTTCCTACTCATTGTCCGAGGCAGACTTCCTTTTTCCTCTCTGGCCTAGCAGATTATTTTTTGAAGCCTATTAGAAGGAAGGGGGCAGCTCTTTGAGGATTCCGGTTGTGTATTGATTCCTGGTCTTAGGCCTCGGGTTGCATCGGATCCTGCCCTCATTGCCAATGCAATAAGGGTTCAGTACACCTCAGGACTACCGTAGTGTCAGCTCATGGGCCTGCATCTCCAGTTTTAGAACTTTCTTGGCTGCTAGCTTCAACTTTCTTTAGTTTGCCTGCACATTAAAATTTCCTTTTACCTGTATCTTATCCAGTTTTTCCATGTGTTTTGAGCTGTGTCAAGATCAGCTTCAGTTTGGTGTGCCACGGAGCTGGATGTCTTTCTCTTTCTATCCTTGAGCCTGCATGTCCTTTGGCTGTGTATCTAGCCAGAGCCATGACAGATTGGTTCCCCTCTTTGAAGAAGCCTAGGCTTCTCTTCTGTTCACTGCCACTCCTTGGCCTCCATCTTCCTTTCTTTGGGAACCTAGAGTCTGACCTGGTTGCTTCTGTAGAGGAGTCCCATCTGTCTTCATTCTGTCTTTTCTTCATCTGGAATTAAGCAAAATACTTCTGGAGGAGCACCCCAGAGGACTAGTGTCCCTTTTGTCCCTTTCTACATCCTTCTCCCCACTGTCTACCTGGGAGAGGCCCAGGTCAGCACCACTCTAGGTCTTGAGAATGAGTCTCTGGTTTACCTTGTGTTTTTTCTCCCACTTCTCATTGATAAGTATGACTGTCACTCTTACTACAGTGATCAAGAGCCAGGCTTGAATTTGGAGATGGGAGTGCAGAGAAAGAATTAGCCTTTCAGCTGGTTTTGGTTTGGGTATTTAGGCACAAGCAAAGGCCTTCCTTACTAAGAAAATGTTTCTTACTTTGTTTGCTTCTCTGTGCCCCTCACAGGAAGGGGTGATTATTGAGGAAGGGATCAGGATCCCAAGGATCCTGAATCTGTTAGATCTCTGCCTCTCACATATATCTGCTCATTCAAATCACCTATGGAACTTCTAAAAGTAATATGGATAAACTTCCCTTACCCCAGAATAATCAAGTCAGAATTCCTGAGGATGGGTTCTAGGTATCGATATTTTGAAACTCTTCAGATTATTCAAATATGCAGCCAGACTAGAGGACTGTCAGACCACGGCTTCAGATACACGGCCACCACTGGATTCATGTCCCATGATTATTTCCAACACCTTGAAGTTTAAGTCAAGACTCCTGGTCTCTTTAAGAATAATAATTAGCTATGGGGGAAGGTTAAGAGAACTCTAAGTAGATATGAAATAACTGTGAGCACATGTATTTTCATAGGCCAAGAGACTGCTTACTCTGTGATACAACAAAGCTTCCGAATCACATGCTCTTGTTAAGGTCAGGGAGCCAGGGTGTTCTCTACTCCCACTCTCCGCCCCCTGGATTATTTGATCTTTGTTCTGGTCTCCTTGGAAGACAAAGATGCTCAGTCTATAACATTTTTGCAGCTGGAAGGGTGGTCCCTGGAGTCTGAAGCCTCCTCTTTATTTTGGGGGTTACAGTGGTGACCCCGCAGGGTTATGAATGTTTTTCTGTCCTGACTTCTTCCTTTTCCAGTTGCTGGCTAATACCTCTCCTAAGTATCTTCTCTGCTATGTTGGGCCACTTTTAGGTCCTCCAATGGACCCAGTTAGCACTGGCTACTCTGGATCTTGTTCTACAGAACAACTGTGAAGTTTCCTTGGCTTTGAGCTCTTTTTTGAATGTTGGGCCAAATTTCTCTTGCACACATTGCAGGGGAGAATATAGGTTCTTTATTCTGCATCTCAGAGGACAAACTGTTTCCAGATTTCCCTTTGAGGTTATTGAAGTCCTCTCTCCAGGGAGGAGGGACGAGATTTCCGTTTGGCGTTAGCGGAATGTTCAACCACAATCCCAAGAATTCTTAGGGTAGAGCAGAAGGTGACTGGATCATTTTCAAAGGACAAGTGACTCAATTCTTGAGAGGAAATATCTGTTGAAACGAACTCTTGGGTGCTTGCTATTTCTCTGTAACAGTGGAAACTCACTGATCAATTATGAATGGTCTGAATTTTCAAATACTTCCTTCTACCATCTCCCTAGGTCTGTATCCACTTAATAGTCCTTCACCATTCCTACCTCAACAGCATTAATTTAAAAATTCAGCTACATGTTAGCTTTTCATCACTGTAACAAAATACCTGAGAAAAAAATCAGTTTAAAAGGAGGAAAGATTTAGTTTGGCTCATAGTTTTAGGGTTTTCAGTCCCTGGTTTCTTTGCTTTGTTGCCTTTGGTCCTGTGGTGAGGCAGCTCATCATGGTGGAAGCATGTGGAGGAAGAAATGCTCACCTCATGGTGGCCAGGAAGGAGGGGGAGAGAGGAGGATGGGGTCCCAATATACCCTTCAAGAGTTAAGTTCCCAATCACCTACTTCCTTCAACGAGGCTCCACCTCCTGCAGTGTCCACCACTTCCCAATAGCACCATTAACTGGGGACCAAGCCTTTAGCGGTGGACTTTGGGGACATTTAAGATCTAAACCATAACAACCTACAGCTGTGCTACTTAACACTCTTTCCATGCCGAGGACATGAGTCTTTCCTTTATTGTGTTTTTCTCCTTCATTTCTTAATTATTTCTTTTCTTAAAAGAATGCTGTTCTTGGGCTGGGATTGTGGCTCAGAGGGAGAGCGCTTGCCTACCATGCGTGAGGCACTGGGTTCAATCCTCAGCACCACATAAAAATAAAATAAGGATATTATGTTCACCTATAACTAAAAAGTAAATATTAAAATTTTTTTTTTAAAAAGAATACCATTCTTTATCTCATTCTAATCAGTTTGCCTTGAGTTTGGTTTCTTTTTAAAACTGTTTTTTAGAACTCCCTTCAGGAGGCTTTACCCTACATATTGGCAAATATCGGTGTTAACCTCGTGAGGGACTGGGAAGGGGACAAGATTATTCACTTTTTCTTCATAAAACTTTGTTTACTTTCTTAAAATGGGCATATATTATTTCAGCAATTAAAAATATTAAAAAATAAATTTGGTCACAGAGAAACTAAAAAGACTGTTCCCTTTATTGGGATTTATGTGACCTTTTACCATATGTACAATTTCTTTCTTTCTTTTTTGGTACCAGGGATTGAAACTAGGGGTGCTTAACCACTGAGTGATATCCCCAGCCCTTTTTGGATTCTTTGTTTTCTTCCTTCCTTCCTTCTTTTCTTTCTTTCTTTTTTGTGGTGCTGAGGAATTGAACCTAGGGCTCTCTGCATATGAGGTAAGTACTCTACCAGCTGAGCTATATCCCAAATATTTTGGTATTTTATTTGGAGATAGCTTTTCACTGAGTTGCTGAGTGCCTCGCTTTTGCTGAGGCTGGCCTTGAACTCACAATCTTCCTGCCTCAGCCTCCCAAACTTCTGGGGTTATAGGCGTGCACCACTGCGCTTGGCTATACGTACAATTTCTTATAAATGTACATGCTGCACATAAGTACCTTTACAAACACATACATACATAAGTATATTTATAAATAAATTAGCGTTTATAAAGAACTTAGGATATTACCCTGCATTTAGTGAATCAGGACACAGTAAATTAAAAAAAATGTGCTGTGATTTAACAAAACAAAGGATTTGCTTTAAATCTGTAAGTGAAAGGAAATTCTGAGTTAAGGGTGAAAATACAGCACTCAGTTGAATGTGGAGTGAAAACACTGCTGGTGGAAAACTTTGATGTTTTTTTTGTTCTCTTTGAGAAACTGGAATGAGTTAAAGTTGAGGAGCATGCTGAGGTTTAACTCATTCCATCGTTTCAGAGTGACACGAAACGTGATTTAAGGCCAGCAAGCCTGCCCAGGTTTTTAGTTCTTAGTGGAAGTTGTCTGTCTTTGATTGATTATAGAGGACCAGGGGTTCTGAACACCTATTGTGACTGACCCAAGGCTGAATACAGCCAGGGGGATGGTTTGCTGCATTCCTGTGATTTTTCTGGTTCTAGCCAAAGCCCTTGGACTTGAGTAGCTATTGGATTGATCTGAGACTCTTGCACTGGACCCTGCATCCATCCTACGGCCTCAAGGGATCTAGGCTATTTCCAGGTCAGACCAGGGAAACTCAAAACTCAAAAAAGGATAGTAGTAGTCTCCAAACTTGGCCAGAGTCTTTGGTTGCCTGTAGAACTGGAGGTGGGCTCTGATCTGAAACCTTGGGGAACAGGAGGCCGGGCCAACCAAAGCATTCACCACCAGGATGGCCTGAGATAGCAGCCAGAATCCTACTCAATCTCCTGCCCAACAGGGCGGCCAGGCTGCCTTGACCTTAGCTCAGAGGGTTCAACCAGCCCTGAACCAGCTTTGCTTTTTGCCCAGATTATCCACTGGTGTCAATATGATCTTCCACCTTAAAACTTTCCTTGAAGGCACCCCCCCCCCCAAAAAAAAATAAACAGAATTACATTTGCATTGTATTTTTGCAAATATATTTTTCTGATCTTAGTGCATGGTAGCTTTTTTTCTTTCTTGTTAAAAAAAATCTTTTTGAATTATAAAAAATGCTGTTACCAAGTATTGATGTTCTTGCTAAAAAAAAAAAAAAGTGTAACCTGCTTTTATTGGAATGGGAAATTCCACAGAGACTTATGAAAAAGTGCAGGGGCTTCTTTTGTGTTCTTAGGCACTAAGTTATAGAATTCAATTGTTCATGGATCGATAATGCTACAACTTTTAAAGCTGAGGTTTCTTTAGGTTTAAGAGGAAGTAATTTCAGGAGGAATTAAAAGTAGATTCATCACTACATAGGGAGGGAGAGGTCAGGACTTTTCTAATGACTCTATTCCAAGTTGAGGAGCCAAGTTCAGCCCCTGGAACTAAACACCAGCGTCCTTCCGGCTATTCTAGCTGTGGAGGGAAGTCCAGGAGAACCTCTTGTCCTAAGACAACTGGGTAGGGTGGAGACCAGTCAGAATTTACGAGGGTAAAGTACCAGAAGCTCTCGATATCCAGGTTATAGGTCTAAATTCTTACTTGGCTTGTTAAGCCTTTTTTAGTCCCATGAATTAGAACCCCATGAGGACCTGGCTTTGCTGAAGAGGTAAGAGTTTATTTATAATTAATGCATGACAAAATCAGTCCTCCTGGCAGTTAATTATATGCACATTTAATTTATAAGGTACCTAAGCATTTCAGTGTTATTCTCATTTCACTTCAGTTCTTCAAAGACCTATCCTGGCCAAATATTGATTGTAATATTTAGAAAAAGTCTGGCCACTTCTTTTTCTGATTACGAACAAGTCTGATCATGGTTGAAGAGCCACTTTTTTTTTTTTTTTTTTTGGTGAGGAGGGTGAGGAGTTACCAGGGATTGAACTCAGGGGCACTCGCCCACTGAGCCACATCCCCAGCCCTATTTTGTATTTTATTTAGAAACAGGGTCTCACTAAGCTGCTTAGTGCCTCCCTTTTACTGAGGCTGGCTTTGAAATCTTCCTGCTTCAGTCTCCCAAATCGCTGGGATTATAGGCATGCACTGCACCTGGCCAAAGAGCCACTTCTTTTAAAAGCTTTGTCTACCTGTTTGTTAGTAGAGATTTAACAAATATTTGTTAAATAAATGAAAAAAGAATCAAAGATCAATTCTATTTCACAGCATTTAGCCAATTCATTTCTGTCCAGGAAGAATGGGCATAAACACTTGCCTTCTAATGTGGCTAATCTCAGCATTACACGTGATGTGTCATCCAAACATCCAAAGGAATTACCATCCCCCATTTTATTAATTAATCTGTGAGCACAACTTTAGGGTGAATTTCTGTGTTGTATAATGGACCCATTATATCTATATCAGGATTTCCTAATATGGGAAATATTGAAATTTTGGACCAGATAATTCTTTGCTATGAGGGACCCGCCTGTACACTGGAGGATGTTTAGTAGCATTCTGACCTTTGTCTACTAGATACCAGGAGGAACCTCTTCCCTTGCCTCATACCCAGTTATGACAATGCAAAATGTTTTTAGATATTACCAAATGTCTTCTGCTGAGAATCATCCTCAGTTAGGAAAAACTCTTTTATATTTTATATAGAAGCATAATATGTGGGTTGGGGATATAGCTCAGTAGTAGAGCACTTACCTAACATGTGCCAAGTCCTGGGTTCAATTCCCAGTACCGCAAAAGTAAAAAAATTAAAAAAGAGTAATATGTGATTATGCCATTTTAAACAATACTAAAATTGGGGGGGGGAACAATAATCTTTGTTGTTGTTGTTTTGTTTTATTTTGTTTTCTGTTTAGAGAAGGTGTTCTGTAACATTCTGCTCCAAGGAACACATGCCGAATGGATTTTTCTCTGAGAAGTAAGGCTTTTGTTTATGGGGATAATAAGTGTTGTTTGGGAGTAGAGATTTATAGTTATGAAGGTTTACAAAAATAATATTTGATTACTTTTGGAACAGAATAAGAGGAAAACAAAGACCCAAATGGTCATAACCCTTACCTTGATGAACTCTTAAGATATTGAAAGCAAAATTAATAAGTGCACATAGGAAAAAATTGGTACAAGAGGATAAAAATGAAAAAAGATGTCTTTCTTCTTCTGTTCCAATCCCCATTTCTCCCCAAAGTGAATTATGTTCATCATTTTTCATTTCAGAAAAAAAAAATGTTTACCGTCAGTAAAATTCAAGTTTCCCTTTGGGAGAACTGGAATAGACCTAGGTGTGATGTGACCCTGGGGTGGAAACAGGGTGGTGGCTTGAGTCTGACGCCAATTCTAAGCAAATCAGAAAGGAAGACCTGGCTTTGCTTCATTAAATGGGTGTGAGATTATTCGTTACTTATTCACCCTCCCTAGGAAGGGAGAGTCTTCTTTTTCCCAGGGTGCACTGGCCACATATTTTGGAAATTTAGCTGTTTTTAGCTTAAATCTGATAGAGTTTTAACTCATGGAGCAAGCCAGCCGGGACCATTTCTTTGGCAGAGAGCTCTGTCCCCGTCTTTGTTAAGGCTGACCTGTTGTGTGGCGCCAGGGACTCATTTACTGCCTTTTTCCTTGGTACACAGGGCACCCACTCTTTCCCTGCATTATCATGTTGTTCTGGAGGGAACAATTCCTCTTTGTTATGCGGCTGAGGTTCCCCAGCCAGGCTCCCGTGAATGGATACAGGTTCCTAGTGAAAAAGCACCTGTGGGTACTGTCACTGTCTTGTCCTTAAAAGGTGCCTGTGGGTTCCAACAGCTTTCCTTAATGAGTCGGCTATTCAGAAAAGTTCTGAATTTGTTTGATGTCCTGAAGCATTTGAGGCTCTTGATCTAAAAAATGAAGAAATTCTCAGTATTCTGTAAGCATGCTTTTCATCCAGTGAATGAATCTCTTTATGCGTTCTAGTCACTAACACCCTAAAGTTCAGACACATACAAATAAAAAGGGCCATTTGTATGGGGAAAGAATATTGCAGGACAACAGAATTTTTTGGTTATTTGTGAACTTTCATGACATTTCCCTTCTAAATATATTGCTGTTTGCTCATTCACTTATTCAAGCAGAAACAGACATCAATTAAGCGATAACAGTATGTAAGAGACTTTAAGGCACTGTCTGGGATATACTGGGAGGGAGCATAGCAGAGTGACTAACAGCTCAAGTCTGGGAATAAAAATATTTGTCAGTTTTGCCTCTGTGTGCTATGAGGAAGTCACTTAACCTCCAGCCCAGATTCTTCATCGAAGAATGAGAATAGTAATAGTATTGAAAGCATTAGTTGAGACATGACAAGGCATATCCTGTCAAATATCTTCTAATTACTAATTTGATGTTCATTTTTTTAAAAAAAGCAACTTTCAGATTAAAAGGACAGTTCTGGAAATAAATTAAATCATACATAGTAAAGAGAAGTAAAAAGGAAGATCTATTGCAGAAAATAAGTAGCATTAGCTGCTATAACAAGCAAGCCCCAAGTTAATGATAGGGATAGTTTTCTAGGGTATTGATACTCCTAGTGACCAAGGGATCCTGTTTCCTTCCACTGTGGCCTTCTAGAGTTTCAGACTCAGTCAATTCAAAGTTCATGAATAGGAAAAAAGAGTTTGTGTGAAATCCTGCATGGAATGTTTTGTAGGCGGGCAAGGTGGCACAGGCCTCTGATCCCAGCAACTTAAATCACTACAGTCTGGAAGTGATGAATATCACCTCTGTCTACATTCTACTGCTGTAAAGCAGCGGCACAGTCCAATTAAATGATTGCCCAGCTTGGAGTCTTTTAATTAGTTTTAATGTTTTATAATTATTTCTTCATTGTTTAGATTACTTTCCTGGACGTGTTCTATAATGGTGACATTATTAATGATTTTTATAAGTAAATGTCTTACTGTACTAGCACAGTTTTACTCTTCTCAATTTCTAGTGAATATTAATTCTTACAGCCCTCTGGACATTGATAATAATATTGCAATATAAAAATTGTGTTGAGCCAGGCATGATGACCCATGCCTATAATCCCAGCAGCTCGAAAGGCTGAGGCAGAAGGATGACAGATTCGAAGTCAGCCTTAGAAACTTGGTGAGGCTCTAAACAAGTTAGCAAGACCCTGTCTGAAAATAAAAAACAAAAAGTGGGCAGGGGATATGTCTCAGTGGTTAAACACCTTTGGGTTCAATTCCTGGTACCAACAAACAAACCAAAAACCAAACCAACAATAATACCTAAATTTAATTGAATACCTAAATGGTATTTAGAGGAATAGCTAAAAGAGAAAGAAAATTATGCTTGTTGTGTTTTCAGTCAGCTCTTTCACTGCTGTGACCAAAAGACCTGAAAAGAACAATTTTAGAGAAGGAAAAGTTTCTTTGGTGTTTACCATTTCAGAGGACTTAGTCTACAGTAGCTGACTCTGTTTCTCTGGGCCAGAGGTGAGGCAGAACATCATGGCGAAAGGGTGTGGAAGAGGAAAAATGCTAAGGACGTGGCCACTAGGAAGCAGGGAGAGTTCTCGCTCACCAGGGACAAAATATAAACCCCAAAAGCACATCCCCAGTGACCCACCTCCTCTAGCCATAACCTACCTGCCCACAGTTACTTCCCAGTTAATCCTTATCAGGGTATTAATGCACTGATGGATTAAGGCTCTCGTAACCCAATCATTTCATTTCTGAAATTCCTGGCATTGTCTCACACATGAGCTTTTGGGAGATACTTCATATTTAAATCATAACAGTAGTCTTTCACAGGTTTCGATTTTTTTTTTTTAGTTGTCAATGGACCCTTATTTTATTTTATTTATATGTGGTCTGAGAATTGAATCCTGTGCCTCACACATGCTAGCAAGCTCTCTACCACTGACCACAGCCACAGTCACAGTTCCAATTTTAACAGTAGAAAATTTGTGCTTTGCGATCAGACTAGTAAATTCTGTTCAGCCATTTTTTGGAGTACGGTTTTTACCCTCTCTTGGCCTCAGCTTCCTCCACTTATAAAAATAACCACTAAAACTTACTGTGATTATGTCTTAGGAAGTAGATGAGATACCTGAAAACCACAGTTCTTGATATAGAGCCTGTGCTACATAAATGGCAGCTGCTTCTCTGTCCTTCTCTTCCTGCATTCTACAGCCTAGGACCAGCCATGACCAGCCCTGGCTTCTTTCCTTAGAGTTTAATCTGGAGGGAGCACCCACTGAAAATTACAGGAAAATATCTAATGGTCCACAAATCAGGTGGAATTCTGAGATAGGGAGATCACAGAAAAGTCATTTGAAGACTCAGAGGGCAGATGGTTTGTAAGCTGGGGGAAGCGGAAGGCAGGATAGATTATCTAAAGTCACCAATTTCAGGGTTGGAGAGGTCTTTGAAAAACAGCATGGCATGTAATTGAAAGCATGGGGTTGGACATTAGACCAAGCAGGTTCTAACTCTCTCATAGCTCTTCACTGTGTACCACTGAGCAATTCACTTAGTCTTCTCAGTCTCTGTTTTCTCATCTGGAAAATAGGAACAATAGTGTCTCCTTTAGTGGCAGTTTATTTGCAAAAATCTGTAAAATACTTAGAGCCTCAGTAAGTGAGGTCCATGGAGCCCCTGCGGGGTGAGTGAGGAAACAGGCCCAGAGAGTATTAACAGCTTGCTCCAAATCATTTAGGCAGCTAGTTAGGTATTGGATTAGAACCTTGCATTAGAACCAGTGTGAACCAAGTCAGAGAGCTTGCAAATGTCACATGGGCCTAGGACAGAGGGTTTGGGTAGAGAGAGAAGGGGTAACACCAGCCCTTAAAAGCAGAGAAGGAGCTCAATGGATGCAAAAAGGAAGGAAATATGATCCTCACTTCTTGGGCAGGGAGGTATTTCATGCAAACACATTCTGAAATTCCATTGCAAAGAGATGAATGATAGAATTAATACAATATACTTTGACTCAAGACCAGGAATACAGTCATTCAGCCACAGAACCCAGCGGAGACAGACCTACTAAAAGGCACCCAGAGGCTTTGCATCATTCTCAATCTGTAGTCAAGGAAACAGGAGGCTAAAAAAGACATTGCCACAGAAACACTGATTTGAAAATATCTACCAGAGAAAGAGGAGAACCAGTTATGTATTTTGTGCCCACGTTCCCATGGTAGCACGTGTATGTACAGAATGCCTAGTGAGGAACAGGTGTAATTGTATGTATATATGCATGCACACATGTGTGCATGCATGTAGTGTGTGTGGTGTGTGTGCATGTGGGTGCATGGGTGTGTATGTGTTGGTGATGGGTGTGCCCCAGCTCAACCTGAGACAGTTGGGAGAGAAGGAATAAGCACACAGTCTATCCATGAATGGACAAGGAATTCCCAAGAGCTTTTGAATTTTTAACTGTTGTGCCAAATGAGCAGTGGCATAGCATCTCAGAGTTCACTTGAGGTCAATAGAGAAAATTATCAGCTAAAACCTGGGTCCTTGAATGCATGCAAATGGGTAGACACTGGGTGGGAGTAGGGTGGGCGGTGTGATGTCATGGGAAGAATGGAGGCTGTGGGGTCAGATGCACTTGCTTTGGAATCCAGGCTTTGTAATAATAATTCATTGTGGAGCCCTTGGCAATTTGTTACACAAACACTCCAGTGTCTGAGACTCATCACTGAAAGAGAATAATAAAAGCTACCTTTAATGGTTTTGTGAAAATCATAGGAGGTGTTATAAACACATGTACCTAGCATATAGGAGGCACTCAGCACTATTATTTTCCTCCTCACTCTTCTCTTTTAAATAAGAGAGTTTTAAACCTTAGAATAAATAAGAATCACCTGGAAGCTGCAGTCTTGCTTCACCCCCAGGAATCTGCCCTAAAAGTCTACAAAGGGGACTCAGGAATCTGTCATCT